TTTAAACAATGTGATTAAAAGACATGAAAACAAGAGTTCTATTATTTTGTTTCTAACCTTGAAGGAATTGTTTTATTCATATGCCGCAAGATATATGCCCCTGCTATGAAAATCACAGGCTCAGACCACACTCTCCCATCAACTATCCATCTCCTTCCCCTACTGCACATGGAACAATATTCTGAAATTTCAGAATGCCTTAGACTTGACTCAACTCAAACTATGACAATATTCATAGCAGAACTTATTTATACAATATGAAGAATCATGTCCTTACATGCCCTATTTTATCTTTTGGAAAAACATGTATTTTCATATATAAAAATTGCATACAGTATGGTATAACTACATTTCTACTATTGTTCATAATAATGCTATGCTATTTGTTCATAATAATTCTTTACTGGGACAAGTAAGTCCTAATATTATTCAGTTATTTCAAAAGTTTCAGAAATATACCTCTGTACATTTTTGAAGGCTATCATGGCCTGTAGCAAGAAGAGATGTCTTCTCCCATTTCTTTGCAACTTGATTGGCTTCTTCTATCTTCTGCTCACAACTTTTTTGAGAATTAAGCAATGTCACCTCATAAAATTCTTGAATATCTGTAAAGAAAATGCAAGAAAGCATCAAAATATCATGCACCACCTCATAAATAGCTTCTGTGTATAGGTACACATGATGCATATAAAAATTCTTTGCTGATTAAAAGAATTGCATAAATATAGATCACAAAGTAAAACAACTAGAACAGAGAAAATCCTGAAAGTTGCCTTTTTATTGGCATAAGAATACTTACAGTAGCTTTATTCATAATTGCAAAAACTGGAAGCAACCAAGATGCCCTTCAATAAGTGAATACATAAACAAACTGTAGTAAATCCATATAATGGAATGTTATTCAATCATAAGGAATAAGCTATCAAGCTATCAAAACATGGATGAATCTTAAGTGCGTATTGCTAAGTGAAAGAAGCCAGACTGAAAAGGATACATACTGTATGACTCCACTTAAAAATCTGGAAAAAATGAAACTAAAGAGAAAGTAAAAAGATCATTGGTTGCCAGAGGTTCTGAGAGAAGGAAGGAGGAGTAAATAGACAAAGCAAAGGATGATGAAAATACTCTCTAATGACATTGTAGTGATGAAAACATAACATGAAGCATTTGTCAAAACCCATAGAACTCAATATCATAAAGAGTAAACCTTATTGCATGCAAAATTTTAAAAAATCATTTAGGAAGATAGGGGTCCCAAGATGACATTCAAACTGTTATAAAAGAATGTAACTGCATTAAAAACGTATGCAATAACCTCACTGCAGGTGGTAGGAAAAAAATGTGCTGACCTAAGTAATTTTGAAAATAAGCAGACACTATAAAAACAAAGACAAAGAAACAAAACAAAAGCAATTGGTAAATTTGTTTTCCATGAGGTACAGATTAACAATTCTGATACTGCTATGCATGTGTACTGGAATTGAACAATTGAGTAAATGGATAGTGGATTATGGGAGACAGGATTCTCACTGTTGGAGTAGGAACAAGTGATGGGAATGTTAGAATGATTCCTGTACTAGATTAGAGTTGAAGACCTCACTATAAACTTATGTTTAGCTTAATATAGATACAGATGGATACTTATAAGAATATTTACAGATATGTATATACACAAGTTAGTTATATACATATATATTTCTTTGTTCTGTCTGATAAAAGGGCCTAGAAGTGATGATACCATAGTAATAATGAGCACACTTGCACCCTGATTTTGAACAATATATAGCATCTTCCACCAAATGGTAAAAGGTAATACATAAATACTGTGGTATTAAATTAGGATTGGGTGTATCTATATGAACTCAAAGTTTTTAAGAGATATAGAATGGATAGATAGGTAGATAAAAATGTGTATAGAAATAAATATGTATGTGGACATTTCCTAGCTCTGTCACACAATTCCTGGATCTGTCTGCTGAGAGGGCCTAGAAGCAAGTACATCCCAGTAGCAACAAGTATACCTAGAACTTCTAATTTCTAATATCATTTTCCAATAAAAAAAACCAGGCCTTCTTAGAAAAATGGTTGATTCTAGGACTGAGGCAGAAGAGATTAAAAAAAAAAATGATCCTGGAGCATCTTATAATACCAGTAAGTAAGGAAAATTTTACAAGTGATGGGTATGCTTACTATCTGGATTGTGCTAACCGTATATACTTATGTCCAAACATATTAAATTGTGCATTTCACATGTGTGCTTTATTATTACCAGCTTTATTGTCAATTAAAAAGACAAAAAAGATAAGGCACAAATTGAAAGAAGATAATTTCACAGCATATAGACAAAGGAACAGTACCCAGACATGAAAAGAACTACAAATCAAAAAGAAAAGACATACAAACAAAAAAAGGTTAAAGGTATAAACAGGTATTTCATAGAAAAGGAAACATATATCAGAGATAAGCCTAGGGTAAAATTCTCAACCTCATTAATGATAATAAATGCAAATTAAGATCATAATCAAATACCACTGACACCAAAAATATTTCCAAAAATAATGAAGTCTGACAATACAAGGACTAAAAAAAAGAAAAACGCTATCAAAGGTAACTTTTATTTCTTTATGAAAATTGCAAATTGCTATAACCACTTTAGAAAATAATTTGGTATTATCTTGTAAAACTGGACATTTGTTTTTCCTATAATCCAGCATTTCTACTATTCAGTATACATACTAGGTAAATTCTTGCATGTAAGAACCAAGAAACAAACCCAAATGTTCATAGAAGCATAAATCACAATAGCAAAAAATTAGAAACATTCCAGTGTACATCAAAGGAAAAAAGTATAAATTGTGGTATGTTCTCAAAATGGAATTTATGGAGTTGTGAAAATGAATGACTATGGTGTCATGGACCTACAGTATCTTAGAAACATAATGTTGAGTGAAAAAAAAAAATTTAAATATGAAAACATTTTTGTAAAGTTCAAAAATGTACAAAATTAAACTACACACTTTTAAACATACATACACACATGTGACTAAACAATTAAATGAAAGCAAAGAAGTATGTGAAAAGATGTAGCTAGTTCAGTGGACAGGGTGGGCAAAGAAGTGGTATAAGGGAGGAACACATAGGTAGATGCAAATTAATGGTAATGATCTAGTTCTAGATTTGAGTGGCAATTTCAGAAATTCTGATTTTATTATCTGTATATTATATATAAATTACATTATTCTTTTTATATTTATATACATTTTATAATAATAAAGAAAAATTTTAAGTGTTTCATGAATATAAACTTTCATAGAAAAGTTAAAATGCTTATATTTTATGCATCGCTACTTATTCTGCCACTAGCAATAAAGTAGCTGCAAAGTCATGTTTGAAAAATGTAAAAAATGTACAAAGAACAGAAAATAAAAGCAGGACAGACATAAATCCTTCCCAGATTTTTTTTAACACTATAAGGCCTGCTAGAGTATTAATTGGGTTGACAAAATCAGAGGAATAAGGAATAAAAAGCTAAAATCCAGAAAACAAGATATGCTTATATCATCTGGTCTCAGGTATTAATTAAAAGAAAAGAATTCTGTAAACATTTCTTGCAGCTATGGTCTATTTAAAGTATAATGACTTGTAATGAATAAAATAATTTTTGCTGGTAGTCAAAGTTCAAGATTCCTTTTCTTTGCACCATTTTTAAGGACATAAATAGTTTCATATGCAGCATTTGCAAGTCATCAAATTTCAAAACACTAGATATGTAAATTTTCCAGAAAAGGAAGCATATTTATCAGACTCATGTTATTTTTTATAATTTTATTTCAGAATATTACAGGGATACAGCTATTTCAGTCACATGGATTGCTTTTGTACTGCCTGAGACAATACATGGATTGCTTTTGTACTGCTTGAGACAAAGTTTTAAGTGTGCTCATCTCCCAGATAGCGTACACTATACTCATTAGGGATGATTTTCACCCATCCTCCTCTTCCCCCTCCCCTCCCTGTTTGGTTTCCTTTGAGTTTTACTTCTGATTGTGCACAGGAGTGCTGTTTGGTTAGTTCCAATTTAATAGTGAGTACATGTGGTGTTTGTTTTTCCATTCTTCTGATACTTCACTTAGGAGAATAGTCTCCAGTCTCGCACAGATTTTTACAAAAGGTATCAATTCATTTTCTATGGCTGAGTAATACTCCATGGTACACCTATGCCAAATTTTAGTAATCCACTCATGAATTAATGGACACTTGGGTTGATTCCACATCTTTGTGATTGTCAATTGTTCTTCTATAAACATTCAAGTACAAGTGTCTTCTTGACAAAATAGACATTTTTTTTTCCTTTGAGTAAATACCTAGGAGTGGGATTGCTGGATAAAATGGTAGGTCTACTTTATGTTCTTTGAGAAATTTCCTACTATTTTCCATAGAGGTTGTCCTAGTTTACAGTCCCACCAACTTTGTATAAATATTCCGTTCTCTCCACATCCACAGCCACATCTATTGTTTTGGAACTTTTGATAAAAGCCATTCTCCCTAGGGTTAGGCAATAATCTCCTTGCGGTTTTGATTTGCATTTCCCTGATAACTAATGACGTTGAACATTTTTTCATATGTTTACTGGTTATTTGTCTATCTTCTTTTGAAAAGCTTCTGTTCCCAACTCTTGCCCACTTTTTGATGGAGTTGTTTGATATTTTTTGCTGATTTGCTTGAGTTCTTTGTAGATTCTGGTTATTAGCCCTTTATTGGATGTAAAGCATGAGAATATTTTCTACCACTCTGTAGATTGGCTATTCACTCTGTTAATTGGTTCCTTTGCTATGCAGAAGCTTTAAAAATTAATCATGCCCCATTTATTTATTTTTGTTGTTGCTGTGATTGCCTGTGAGGTTTTCATAAATTCTTTGCCTAGGCCAATATCTAGAAGAATTTTTCCAACATTTACTTCTACAATTATTATGATTTCATGTCTTACATTTAAGCCTATTATACATTTTGAATTAATTTTAGTGAGTGGCGAGAGATATGGATCCTCTTTCAATCTTCTACATGTGGCTATCCAATTTTCCCAGCACCATTTATTTAATAGGGATTCTTTTCCCCAGTGTATATTGTTGTCTGCTTTGTCAAAGATCAGATGGCAATATGTGGATGGTTTTATATCTGGGTTCTCTATTCTGCTCCATTGGTCTATGCCTATATTTTTTGTCAGTACCATGCTATTTTTGGTTATTATAGCCTTGTAGTATAGCTTAAAGTCTGGTACAGTGACACCTCCAGATTTATTTCTTTTGCTTAAGGTTGCTTTGGCTAGTCAGGCTCTTTTTTGATTCCAAAAGAAGCATGGAATTATTTTTTCTAGATCTGCAAAAAATGACATTGGTGTTTTCATGAGGATTGCATTGAATCTGTAAATCAGACTGGGTAGTATGGACATTTTAACAATGTTGATTCTGTTGACCCATGAGCATAATATGTTATTCCATTTGTTTACATCCTCTGTGATTTCCTTCTTCAGTGATTCGTAGTTCTCCCCATAGAGGTCTTTCACTTCACTGGTTAAATATATTCCTAGGTACTTTATTTTCTTTGT